ACTAAAGTAGGTCTCCAACGATATCTGAGGGCTTTTGAGAAATATTGTAGTAACAATCAACTTCAAATTAACTATTCTAAATCCAAAGTAATGTTTTTTTCTAAAAAATGGGTCCCTCTTAGCAAGACGATAATCCAGCAAGTCAAGAGTTATAAATACTTGGGTGTCACGTTTAATTTTAATCTCCAATGGGCAACTCATAGAAGAAGGTCTATCAGTTTGGGGAAACTATCTTCCAACCAACTGAAATCCTTCTTTTTCTCCAAAGGAAACCAATTTGTGCCTGCCGCCATTAAAGTTTTTAATACTAAAAGTTTAGCTCAAGTTCTCTATGGTGTTCCTATATGGTTCAGTGCTTTTAACTGTGAAGTTGAATCAATTCAATCATCCTTTTTTAGACAAATTATGGGTTTCCCAAACTGTGTTTCTTACCATGCATTGTGCTCTGAATTAGGACTTAATTTGATTGAAACCAAGGCATGGGTGTTAACGGTCCGTTACTGGCTTAAATTGTATTTTAACATTGAAGATGGTTCGCTTTTGTCCTTTCTGTTAAAGGAAATTCATAGTACCTCTTGGGACTTGAATATTCGATCCAAATAACTTCTTTGGGCCTCTCCTTGGAGGAGTTAGCTTTCTCCTCTGAAGTGTATATTTTTAATACAATCAAACAGAGGCTTTTAGATATTGAGTTTCAAAAACTGCAGCCCTTTCATCCCCCTGTCTGCTCTTCAGCTTCATTAAATCTTAAGAATGATGTGGGATGTATTCCCCAGTATTTGTATAATTTGGATAGCCCTAGCCATCGAAGAGCTTTTTCCCTTGCTCGAGTAAATGCCTTCCCATCAAAACTACTGTATGGTAGGTTTCATAATATTCCTAAGTACGAACGGAGATGTGACTGTGGTTCAAGCTCTCTTGATTCAATTGATCACATACTGCTATACTGTTCGTTGCATGTATCTGCTAGGGAAAAATGGTTAAACTCTTGGTTGCATGGTAAATATCACCTTTCTAATGAAAGAAAATGTCAAATTCTATTGAATGATACAACAGCAGAGATTACAGTGGCAGTGGCTAATTTTTTAGTCTATGTGATAAGAGTGAAAAATTTGGGAAACTCCGTTTCATGATTTTATAATTATTTCAGTTTTTTAGTTGACTGTGTCATCTTCTGTTTCTGAATTTAATGCTGTATATGCTATTAAAGATTTATTGATTGATTGATTGATAGATCCTATTTGAACAAAGTGCTCCTTGGCAATTGGACGATCACAGTTGGACTTTTGGGCAAGTCCATGGCCCAGCCACCCTGGCCCAGCAGGGGACTGTCCCAAATGCAGACCATAGTGAGAGATAGGTGAATCCTCCATCTTTCTTTATTCTTCTGTTTCTTCCCTCCATTGCATTCTGGGCATGTGTAGATCCAGAATCACTGGCACTAACCCACAGGTGATCTCCAGCCTCCAATTCTGAGAACGTACCCATGGAAATAAAAAAGGGCGTACCTGCTGCATTCTGAAAATGAAGTTCCCAGACTACATTGACCAGAAGGCAATGGGGGAGGAAATGAAGAAATCAGGAAAGATGGAAGGATGGCACTGCAAGAATCTCTCCTACTTCAGCTGCCTCCTGACGAGGAACCTGGCTCTGCACACAGTCTTTATTCACAAGGTAAAAATGCAAACTAACATGACATCTACATGGCATAAGGTACAGCACTTACCATTCACAGCAAGGCAGTATCGGGCTGCGGTCACACAAGCAGTTTGCCGTGATATAGGAGTGTTACCTTTGCGGATTTAAAGAGCACAATCAGACAACACATCTGCCTTCCATGCCCCAGTCATTGTCACCCTGTGTTGCCCCGCTTTGGAAGCAGAGTAATCAATCTCCAGGGAAAGTCCAGTATTAAGGGATGCCAGCGTTTCTGCCCCACATTTCCCACTGTCTGAACTCCCCTGTTGCGAAATCCAGCCATTTGGGCAGTCTGAACCTTCCCTTCCTTTTCTGTCTCCTTTGGGTGTTCTTTTTTTAATCATGTATGCATGAATGCACGATCGCCCCTGGCATTGTCAATCACTGTGGCCAAGTAGTCATTCTGGATCGGGAGTCTCCAGGGGAGCTGTTTTCAAGATGTTTCATATTTTGTTATTGTACTTTATTGTTTATTGTTTTATGCTATGTTGTTTTTATTTGTTTGAATCTTGGCACTGTGTGCCTCCTGTTAGCCGCCCTGAGCCTTCGGGGTAGGGCGGGATATAAATTCAAAATAAATAAATATAAAGGGGCAAATCCACCCCAAAACCCCTCTCTCCTGTTTCTACATCAGTAACTGAGAGCATCCCATGATTGACACAAGGGTAAATGTACTGATATCAATGGGACTACTCTTGTGTACAACTGCACTTCTCCCCCATGTATTCCACAGAAGAGAGGCCAACGGAAGGAGGCTGAGAAGGGCCGGAGTACTTGGCAGAGAGATTGTGGAGCTGTCAAAAAGGAGCCGAGCTTTGGATACACGTTTATGCGCATGGGTGAAAGACCAAAAAACCCCCCCCACTGAATGCCACAGCAATCTAAACAATCAACCATGGTTTGAGTGCACAGTTAAGCTGATTTGGGATGGGATGTCTAATCAAAATTTCCTGCAACTATTTAAACTGCTGTGAATAGAGGCGCATCCAGATCATGCCAAGCCTCTGGTGTGACCACAACCTCAGTGGAGCTCCAGAAACTAGTGCAGAAAGACATGGAAGAAACTGACCCATCTAACTGGGTTTTGCTCATAGTGGTAAAAAAAGGACATTTGCCTTTATGTAGATTATGGGCCCCGGTCACACGGGAGGTTTTGCCCCACAAGAGTGACGGATCAGGGGCACAGCAAACGGGCGCAATCAAACCGCAACATCTTGGAAGCGGTGTGCACCCGTCCCTGATCCGTCCCTTCAGCCCGAAAACACGCATTAAAAAAAACCCTAGGAAAGCGGTGGTGCAGGCGGTAGAATGCCTGCTTTAACAACTATGAGCAGCCATTGCGGCTGTTCGAATACCACCGTGGCCGGAGTGAGCTCCCGGCCTCTGTCCCAGCTCCCGCCAACCCAGCGGGCCGAAAGCTACTTAATATCTAATGCAAGTAGGCGAATGGGTACCTACCCTTAGACAGGTAGGGGGCACCCACCTCTGTAGAAGGAGGCATGGTGGTGGTGCAGATGGTGTGGCGATGTGGATGGCGGCGACCAGCGGCGTAACATCGGCGGCGGCGGTGCTGCTGGAGTGGAGCGGTGCGGAGTGATCCCTGGCGGCCAGAGGGAAATACACCGAGCGACAGCAGCAGCAGAGACCTGACGACGGCAGCAGCAGCGGAGATCTGAGGCGCACGACGATGACGTGGGCATGGCGGTGCCTGACGGACGAGGCTGGCCAGCGTGTGGAGTCGTGCGCCTGTGTGGTGCCGGGAGTTCCAGAGGAGTATCGTGAGCCAGGAGGGGACGCCGCACCGGCCCAGCAGCCAAGGGTCAACTTAGCCACAAAAACTACGAACAGACGATGAGCTGAGCCAAGGATGCAAAAAGAGAGCATATACCACTGAGGGTGCTGGTAGGTAGTCCCACCCCCAATCCTCGATGTGGCCCTAGATAGGATGATTCAATTCTTAGAATGACAAAATGTGAACCGCCCAGAGACCCCTCCGGGGGTTAGGGCGGTATATCAAGTCTAAGGTAAATAAATAAATAAATAAGTACTACCAACCTGAAACGCCGCAGCAAGCACGGCTGTGGGATCGCCGGCACGCCCGTCTTCAGCAGCATTCGAGGTTCCCAGCCGAACTGCGCATGCGCACACATGCGCAGCCAGCTGCCTTGCTCTCCTTTCCGTGGCTCCCCCCCGGGATCTGATCGTGATGGGGAGCAACTGTGCAGCGGCTCAGGGGATCTGTCTGATCCCGCCGCTGTGCGTCTCTTTTGGTGCGGCTCTAAAAAGCCGCACTTTGACCGCGCCAATTTCCCCCGTGTGACCAGGGCCTAAGAGAACCAAACAAAGCCACTGTGAGTGACCGTTGTCCACTTTCACATGTAGAAGAAGTATTTGCAGAACTCTGCAGAGTGCAGAAGTTCTCTACACTTCATTTGCAGAGCGTTATCTCACCACATTATATTGCATGAAGACAGCTGAGACCTCACAGTATTTATTATACATGATGGGTTATTTCATTTGAAAAAAGTCCATTATGGATTTGCATCATTTTCTAGTGCTTTCCAAGGAATAATGTCCATAATCCTTGAGACCCAGCACTACTGTGTCTGGAATCACAGCTGTTTGGAGTTGTTTGGAATGCTCTTGTGTTTGGAATACTACTGTGTTTTGAATAACTGCTGAGGAGCAAGAAAATAACCTTATTCCGTCTGACGCTTTGTCAACAAACGCCTTCTGGACGTGATTCAACGCACGAGCCAGGGTCAAGTAGAATTAAATCACTTTTATTATTACATTCCACATGCATTCATAAGTCTACTCACATCTTTGTAATCTAATTCATCTCACTGGCTCATGGTGAAAAGGATGGTTGTCCCCACTCCTTGCCAGTTATAGAGAACAAAGGCTACAGGAAGAGAGTTGTATTTCGAACCCTCCCGCGCCTCTGTGTGCCGGATGCGGTGGGGTGTCTAACTAAAGACTTCAATTCCCAGGAACCACTGCTCTTAAAGCTATCTGGCAGTTCTGCTTAACTACAGTCTCAAACGCTGGCTGGGACAGCACACCCCCCACCTGGAATTCTACGGGTTCCACTACCCACATGCATTGCTAACAAGCCTTACATCTATAACTATGCATAATTGGAATGCTACACTGCTATGTTCTATACAAAAATAAGACATGCAAAACTTGAGTCTTCAATCTTTGAGTTCTTCTTTGGTGCAGAGCAGGACCACCTCTGTGACTGGCCTGCTGAAAGTCTTGGTCGGCCAGGGGCGTTCCTGTGGGCCATCACGTGTGACGACTCTGACATCAATCTTGCGGACCAGTCCATCTTTGCCAGGCAAGGCCCGATCTACAAGTCCTATGGGCCATGAGTTGCGGGGTGCGTCTTTCTCCCTCAGCAACACGACATCTCCTTCCTGCAGGTTAGGCTTGTCCTCTTCCCATTTGCGTCGACTCTGTAAAGTTGGAAGATATTCTTGCTTCCAGCGCTTCCAGAAGGTGTTCGCTACGAGTTGAACTTGCCTCCACTGTTGTTTGAATATGTCTTTGGGCGTGAAGGTACCTTGAGGTGCTGGCCATTCGCCTGTCTTTAGTGTCAGCAAAGTTGCTGGTGTCAGAATGGTTGGGTTCTCAGGATCCGAGGACACTGGAACTAGAGGTCTTGCATTGATGATGGCAGAGACTTCCGCTAGGAGAGTAGACAATGTCTCGTGCGTGAGGGAAGGTGTTCTTGCCAGCATGGAATCTAGAATCCTGCGTGCGATGCCTATCATGCGCTCCCACACTCCTCCCATGTGTGAGGCGTGGGGAGGATTGAATATCCATATAGAATTCTGGGTGCTCAGATAATCGCTGAGCACGGGATCAAGATCGGTGCTCGTGTTGATTCCTAGCTCCCTGCATGCTCCAACAAAGTTCGTGCCACAGTCTGACCGGAGGAGCTTGACAGGACCACGTATGGCGAGGAATCTCCTAAGGGCATTTATGAAGGTGGAGGTATCCATGGACTCGATTACCTCGATATGAACAGCTCTGATACTCAGGCACGTGAAGAGCACAGCCCAACGCTTGCTGTTTGCCTGCCCTTCTCTTGTTTTGCGTGTCACCA